CCCCCTCACTAGTGGTTGTTTTTCTCTATGTCCTCTTAGTAGCCGCTTGTCTCCTCCTATACCTGTCTGACACGGTCTCACCGCAGCAAGCCATAGACACCCTGCGAGATGTAAGAGGGTCCGGGGCCATACAGACCATAAAGGTAAGGAGCGTGACCGTTCCTGTTGGTTGTGGTTAGGAACACCCACGGCACACACGTACAGTGTGACAGCACAACCTAAAGGGCATTCAGATGAAAATCCAATGCACACTGTTACTCAAGCGCACCTGGGTTTTTTGGTTCACATTTAGTTTACACACCTCGTTACCTGCAAAAGACCACAGTATTTTAAACAAAATAAAACATCTCAACTTTCCACTTCACTCTCCCAATACTTTTACTGCTCAGTTGTCGTTAATTTCTTGGATAGATTTTTGGCCAGAAACATCTAAAGGAGATCCTACTGTCTCCCTGAAACATTGACCAAAAATAGATTGAAGCAGTGCTTATTGTCTTTTGCTGTGGATAACTGGTCACCTTCCATTTCCCTTCCCCTTAACACTTGAAAAACATTACAGTAGCAATTGGGAGGGGTCTTGCTATATATTCATCAGGATACCAAAAAGACTGTAAATGTCACTGTAGATCTGTAAATAAGATCTCGCCTTCTTTTCCCAAAGCACCCTGTCTCACTTTAAGATGAGACCCTTTAGTAGCATTCTAAAGAATCCTGACCTTTAGGCTTCAGTACATCTTCCCAAGGGCCAGGGGCCTAAACCGGTGCCATGCACAGTGGATTACTGTAATTACTCAGGAAGTCACCGAACAACCTGTCAGGCTTCAGATCATTCACAAAATAATTCATACTGTACCAGATCTGATTACGTCCACATCAAATGGTGCTTCAAATTCAGGAAGTTCAAGTTTTCTTCTCTTTGACAAAAAACCAAACACATGGTGGAACAGAAGTACGAATATGCTGTGTTCTCCATCCTTAATCCTGGGAAGACGAGGCCCACGCTAGGGTGAGCATTCAGCTCATCACCCCGACATCCTTTGGGAAACAGGCTGAGCCATCTGCGCTGGTTCAAGTTTCAGTGTCCCAAGAATGATATGAAATGAGATGATTGGCAGAGTAAAAATATCCTGCAGGAAACTATGTTAAAAACTCCAAGTAGAAGTATTTAAAACTTTTTTTTTTTTGTCTTTTTGAGACAGGATCTCACTCACTTTGTAGCCCAGGCTGGTCTCAAACTTGCAAGGATCCTCTTGCCTCAGCCTCCTCGCGAGTGCTGGGATTACAGGCATGCACCACAATGCCCGCATTGTAAAACTTACTCTAAGATTTTGTTGTTGTTGTTTTAAGAAAATCATTCCAAATTGGCAATGTCATCACAAAAAGCAGAGTAGGGCTCCTATAAATTTTCTTGAATGTCACTGTTAATTGCTATATAAAGTGCTCTCTGCCTCATCTATACTTACTCTGTAGAGAAAAATACTAGCAAAATGAATGCCCTTACTTAGTGTTTGCTATCCTATCTGATCCTGCCAGTAAGGAAGAGATCCTCTGGGTTTATTTTTTTTTTTAACAGCCGAATATATTTATTGAGGGAAAGAAAGCTTCTGTCCAAGACAGGGACAGAAGGAAGGCCCAAGTGAGTTGCCCCAGACTCTGTCTTTTCTAGGGACTTTTATAGAGCAAGACCATGAGGTGAGGCGGGTCCAAGATAGGGGAAAAATAGGAAATTACAAGGTGGGCATGAGATGGGACAAAACTATGGTCAGCCAATAAGAATTGTTCAGGTAAAATTGATTAAACTGGGATCAAATGGGGAAGCGAGTCACATAGCAAGCGGGCATGAATACAGAACAGGGGCTTTTCCTGTAAGAGGTTGGGTCAGTGACCCTTCAAGGTGATTGCTACCTATTTAGTATCAATCCCTGAT